GATGCTGTTGCTTTTTTAAATCTCTTCGTATCATCTCCTCCGCTCCTACTTTCGTGCACCATTATTTTTTTCGTGATTTTTTGTATCGTTTTTTTGCTGTTTGCTTGTTTTGTCGAGGGACCGTAGAATCATCTTTGTTCTGTTTTCTTTTCTTTTCTTTTCTTTTCTTTTCTTTTCTTTTACTTTTTTTCTTATTTTTACCTCTTCGTTTGTTTTGGAAAGATGATGTGTCGCTCGAATTTCTCCATCTTCGAATTTAGCATCGTCGAATTTCCTTGAATCTGCGTTTTTAATATTCAAATTTACGCGTACGCGCGGTACGTTTGTTACCGAAAATGGGTCTGATATTTGCCTAATTCAACAGATACTCGTTCATTCGTTCTCTCATTCGAAGCAACCTATCTTCCAGATTGAATTTTGAACCCCTTGCTCGCGAAACGTCTGACTTTTGCTCTCTCGTTCTACTTTAGACCTCTGACGGGGGATATGCCGCGAATCTCTCATTTCGATAATCGCGTCGCACCTTTGCCGAAACAAACGAATCATTCGCGCCGGAAACGTTGAATATCTTTAAAAAAAAAAAAAAAAAAAAAAAAAAATTCTCACGTTCTGCTACGTATATACCTCCAGAAAATTGTCGGAAAATTGTATTCGCCAAACGTTTGGTCCCTGTCTTAATTTGGAGGCTAGTCGGTGCCGGTGGTGCGAGTGTGTGAAGAATTGTGTTTGAGGCTTACTTATCTATCCTATCGTAGCTGTACAATCCATCGCAATGCTGTGTGTGTGTGTGTGTGTGTGTGTGAGCGTGTACGTGTAATCGTGTAGGTGTATTAGTGTCGAGAAAAAAAAATTTCCCGATCAGCGACGCCCATTTTGGCGAACGTTCTTGCCCAGACCCGGTTCGGAATGTTGGTTTGGCCAGTTTCACTGCTGGTGAGCTGGCCCCGGGTTGTACAAGGGCGATCACCAACTACCAGGCGTACACCGATGACGAACAGAAGCATTGGTTCGATAAAAACGATTATCGTTGGTTGCATGAACGAGGTGTATGCACTCGTCCAGCTTTAGGTATTTACATAGAAACTAACCCTATTTCGCATTATGTACTTGATTTAAGTTTACCAGTAAATTCTCAGTTTATGCTTGTGATATCAAGGTGTATTTACATACTACTTAATCCGAGGAAAAAACGCCCTGTAACGCAAAAATTGTTATAATAAGAACGATCAATGATCGACCCACATGCGCATAACCAAGAACTCGAAGTGCCGTTTTTCTTTTTTTCTTTTTCTTTTCCATATATTCCAAAGGAGCGCAATATTTCTTTATTCTTTTCGTTTGCTTAGCACAGTTCCAGAACGACTATGTTTTGCATGGAAACCGAGATATTTTCATTTTTTACTTTAATGCCGGTTAGCCGTGGAATTATTTATTCTACGAATAGAGTAATCGATAGGGCAAGTACTTCGAGTTCCGGTCGCGAGGCGAGTGCAATCGTTAAATGTAGCTTTGACGATGAATCTTTTAGCAATCTTTTCTTCTCTCGTCCCAGATGGTGAAAAAGCCTGGCTACCTGGCGGCTTCTCGGCGCGTGTCTTTTACGTTCAACGAAGATGACGACGTTAGGCTACATTCATAATTGGCGAACAAAGGGGTTTAAAAAGAGGGATCCCCTGAAGAGGAACGGAGAAGTTAGGATACACAATTCGGAGTTCAGGAATTTCCTTTTCGCGATCTTCCAGAAAGTTTGGAATTTTTGTCCTCCTTTTCGTGTCGAAAGATTTTTTCTGTCGGAAACTGAAACGCGGTTTAAGTCGGGAATAAAAATATATGTATATATATATATATATTTTCCATTGGTTCTTTTTAGTCACCTCGGGACAGAATCAGGAAAATCGTTTAAAGGATCGAAGCATCGACATATGTAGAGATAACGGGGAATGAAAAGTAGAAAGGTAAGAGGAACGGGGGGAAAGTTCGTACGAACCGATCACGGAACGAAAGTCTCGTCGAGAATCTCCGAAGGGGACAACAACAACAACAACAACGCGGTCGACGTACGATGTCACGGGGAAGAAAAAATTCGGCACGCTACCATTCATTTCCGCACTCTTCAGTCCGCGATTGCCAGTCGAAGAAACGAAGAAATCGAACGTGTCGTAGGTGAATCGTCATCGAAACGATCTTGCTTGTTCGATGATATTTTTGCTGATAAATTTTTTGCTCTTTTCTCTATTCTTTCTCTTTTTTTGCTTTTTTTTTTTTTTTTTCTTGGACCGCCTCTGACTTAATCGTTTTACGTTAAAATTTTTTTTCCCCTTTCTTTTTTCCTTTACTGTTTACTTTTTTTTCCCGGTTAAAAAATTTCACTTCGAGTTTCGAATAACCGTCCGTATCGGTGTTTGTTCCGAAGCAAGATTCGAGTTCCAAGAGAGAAACGCGTTTCGTTTTCGCGATGTGCGCGTGTGGTTTACGGTCAACGTTTCGTTTCATCTCGTCTGGTCTCGTCGAAAGGAGAAACCCCATCGAAAAGTACGGACAGTCCAGGAGTTTTATAAAAGGTCGGAAAAAGGGGAATTGGGGTCGAGATTGATGGGGCATTACAAAGAGGTATTTAGGAGTAAGGGGCTGGCCCGAGTCTTTAAAGTTCGCTCCACGGTCAAACCTACGGACTTTCTATATTCTTCTTCTTCTCCTCTCCCTCGTCATCCTCATCTTCGTATTTAATTGATCCACCTCTGTTCTGCTTCTCCTTCTTCTTCTTTCTAAGTATTGCGAGAACGTAACGGTATATTGCAAGTAAAAGTTCGAAACGACGCAAGTATTTTTACGCGTTCGGATATATACCCGGAAATAAAAAAATATTTCGCTTATAACGATCACAGGACCTCAGATTACCTGAAGCACGCCACTCTAAAATCTCTCACTCGCTTCATTCTCGCATTCTCTCCTCCTTGATGCTCACGAAGCATTCTCTTTCGCGCAGCTTCTCTTTCATTCAACCGCGTGCCCGTGCACGTACGCGACAATCCCAAGGTCGTTCATTCACCGAATCTTGCATCTGCTCTCTCTCTCTCTCTCTCTCTCTCACTCTCTCTCTCACTTGCTCTCTCTCTCTTTCTTCCTTTCTCTCACTCTCTTTCTCTCGTGCTTCCTGGCACCTCTTTCGATTCTCTCCCGTCTCTCATTCTCTCGTCGACGTGGCTCGGGATCGTGTACCTCTGCCTGGGCACGCGCTCCGCATTCGTACAATTTTCTCTTTCGCCTAATTTATCCTAGTCTCATAGACCCTATATTTATTATTTATAATATTTATATATATATAATATATATAATATTTAGCATACTCTTCTTCATCGTCATTTTTCATCTTCATTTTTCTTCTTCTTCGTCATTTCTCTGGCGTGCTTGTTCACGAAAAATGCTCTCGTACACTCTCACGATTCTTTGAAAATGTGCACGTGTACACCGTGGAAGGTGGATCCCGTCCCAGGCTCTCCACTCCACTTATTTTTTTTTTTTTCGTTTTGTATCCATCATACACTCCAGACTCTCTGTATGTATATATAATATATATAATATAACTGTTTGTAATAATTATATTTTGTTTGTTCGCTTACGAGCTAATAGTTTCCGTGCTGCCGATCAGCACAAGTTGCGCGCATTTTATATTCTTACGTGGAGTAGATTTCGCGTGTGTGTGTGTGTGTGCGTGTGTTCGTGTGTTCGTGTGTATATATATATACGTGTCCTGGCGTGTTTCGTGTTTCCGTGTAACAAGTTTTCGTGTTCTTTCCTCTGTGTACATGTATCACTAATATAGCCAGTGGCCAACGACGAATGCCATTTCGTCGTGTCACACGATCGCGGATCAGACCGTCCGTTTTGTAACTCGTTTCGCGTTTGTCCGATAAACGGGAAGGGGATATGGTACGCATGTAACCAACGAACGTACGAGGATTTGCTTGATCCACCTAGCCGCGTTTACGCACATATCAGACGCGTGTTTCGTGCCTTAAACGTTTACGGGAGCTAAGATTAAGGGTACCTTAAAGTGGCTTCTAGGTATGTATATATGTATATATATAGTTTAGTTTGTTGAGCCTAGACTGACCGCCGGATTCAGGACGATCCCTTGTCACTCGTCCAGCTTGGTCAGGCCTATGGGTTTGGCTCTTGTACTAAAAAAACCATAGTACTCTGCGCAACCCGAGATCGTTCCTTGATCGAGGAACGACACGGGAGCGCGTCGGTTAGCAGTTTCATTCGATATATTATGGCACGTCTCAGGGGTGATTTCGAACAGCAACCGCGACAATGCGTCCTGAGAATTCTGAAAGAGCGACTCGACGAAACAAAGAATATCACTCGAAAGAGAAAACCAACGATTGTCTCTCGAAAGAAATTTGAAATCGTCCCAGACGAGCGAGGGTCTTCTCGTTCGGTGAGCGCTGTCGTTCTAGGAACTCTGAATCCAGGACCGAAGTAGGAACAACGTGATCGCCGCGAGAAATCGCGTGCTGATCGAAGACCATTGTCGCTGCTGTGTCGTCGTCACGCACCGTCTAACGGATTTCTAGATACGTATGACCGTTAATCCTCCCTCTGTTCTCTGTCGGAGAGAAGAGAATAATTTCACAGTTGCGCCGGTCGCGACGATCGGAAAAAATCGTCGCGAGTCGACCGAGTGAAATTAGGATCTCGGATACCCCGAGAAAAAGGATTTTCAGGGTCCCGTTATTCGAATAATTCATTTCTACTGCTGAGACAGGAGTAATTTCGCGGATGACCACACTTGGACGCCTATGTACGAATCGACATAGAAGACGATAATCGGTTCTCACGCGATTCATCGTCTCTATACGTCGTTCTCTACACGTTGTCAGAGTTACCGATCATATCGTCGGCCTTCCTCTTGACACCACGATCTTCAGGATGCTGCTGCTGCTGCTGCTGCTGTTGCTGCTGCTGTTGTTGATGCTGCTGCTGTTGCTGCTGCTGCTGCTGCTGCTGCTGCTGCTGCTGCTGTTGTTGATGAGGATGAAGACCGATGCCAGACGAACCTTGCTGTTGCTGCTCGTTGAGAGTTATTGGACGTTCAGCGCCTTGAAGAGGTTGCTGATTGAGTCTTTCAACTTGCTGCAGGCCCGTCTGATCCGACGTCCAAGGGGTCCACTCGTCTCAGTAGTAACTGAATTTTCATGGTTGCTGATTGTTCTGTTGATTGACGACGTGCTGGAGTGTGAAACTTAAGGCTCGAGGATCACCGTGAAGCCTCAAGGCCTGTTCTAATCGCTGCTCTTGTAATCGCAGCGCTTCCCCTGTGAATCGTAAATCGTTATGATCATCCGGATCTTCGGGTCCAGAGAAATTTCGGGCTTATCCGAGGAAATCGGTGACCGTTGTCACGTGACCGAATGCGAAGTAAAGGTTATCTATCCGAGCCGTTGCGTCGAAAGACGAACTCACCGATATCAGGCGGTAAGGTGTCTTGTTGAGACATCTGTTGGTTTGTATGATGTCCCGGCATGCCAGAGGTACTACCTCCGTTATGCTGTCCCAAATGATGTCTTACGTCTCCGCCAACCGCGGAACTGGCTGCTGCTGCTGCCGCTTGCGACACCTAACGCGCGAGGAACGAAGTACGTTCATTCGATTCGGAATTATCGATTTACCTGGATGAATTCCAGATGCAACAACAAACGAGAAAGGGTATACTTACTGCCAGCCTGAGTGCGGCTTCAGCTTGAGAACGTAGTAGCGCTTCCGCCTGGTGCATTCTCAGAGTTTGTTCTGGTCCGGTTGCTTGCACTCCTTGTTGTTGCGGTCCCGTAGATCCTTGCGCACCACCGCTCATGTCACCGTTGTTTCCCATCCTCATTGCCGCCGCTAGGGACGCCATGTCCACCGGCGACAGATTCGGGGATACCGAATTTTGCAAACCTGCGGATCATAAGGTAGAAAGTCTCTAGCGTGTGTATCGTATCGGTTCACGTTACGAGCTTGGAAAACGACGAAATTCTTCGCGTATCGTTTGCTCCGTATTGTAGAACTATCACCGATCGATTTGTTTGGGATCTAAGATCGAGAGTGCACCGTTCTGCCCTGTAGATAAGAAAAATCCTTGCGGCGGAAAAACATAATTGTAAATCAAGCTTTATCGGTAATAATTAGAACGAATCAACCGTATCTCTTTTTCTTCGAGCGACGTCGCGCGTTTCGATAAGAGCGGTATCGACGGCCTTGAACGGGCAAGCTTCTATCGCGATGATTCTGCTGACCGATCGATCGGGAAAACGCAGATCGCAATGGAAATTCTTACCCGCTGACACGGCGGCGGCCATCACTGCCATACGTTGTTGTTGCGACTGCATCTCGTCGTGGTACTGTTGCGCGGCCCCTGGTTGACTCCCTGCTCGTAGCATTTCGCTCAACTTGTTGCCACTCGGTCCCGGCGACGCCATATTGTTGTTGTTATTATTGTTATTGTTATTCAGCAGACCGGTACCTGCGCAAAAGTCTGCTCTCGTTAGTATACTTGATGGTGGGTTTACAGGATCGCGTGAAGTCGCGCTACAAAACTATGATTTAATCATCGGTTGTTATTATTCGACAGAGATACATATAAAAGACGATTATAAAACGGAGTGAGCTGAGCGTTCGTATGACGAAATTACTCACACAAGAATTCGTAGATGATTTATTTTACTCAGATAAAGTGTAATAATGTGTACTACAATAACTCTCGGTGTAGTTTCGAAGCTCGGTGGTTACTTAAAGTGTATAATGATGATACATTTCAACAAACGTGTACGAGAAAAAGGTGGCGTCGGTGTTAAGATCGGTTACTCTATGATATTCACGACACTCTAACGATTATTCCAGACGACCATTTGCAAGAAGACGAGGAACAAGATCGGAGCGTACCAGGTTCACTACCGGCCGACGATAATCTTCCATTTCCACTGCTGCTGTCCGAATGAGCCGACGGCGAAGGGCACATAGGTGGTTGTTGCAAATTTTGTGGTCCGCCTGATTGGCTACCCAATACACCCAATCCCGCACCTGTACACGATAATCGTATATGTGGTTACGACGGTTGTCACCGATCGTCCGTGATACGCGATAACGAAAAATTACGGTAACCTCATACCTAGACTCGAAGATGCGAGGATTTCTCTCTCCCGCCTCTCAGCGGCGGCGCGACTTAAAACGTATTGCGCCGCGAACTGATGCTTCGGGTCCATTCTCATGTGCTCCATGTGATTCAATAAACCTTAACAGCAAAGTAAAGCGGTCTCGATAGAATATCGGTTAGTTTCGCAGTGTTGAGACGGTAACGAGTTAACGAATATTCGATAACGCTTCGGAAATGAAAGTAACGTCAGCACGAAATCGATAAAAACGAAGAGTAATTGTACGATTGCACTTGATAATACGATTTCTTTAAAAAGAAGGTTATACTTACCGCTCTCATGAGTGAAGACGGCTTGGCACACCGAGCACGGCCACATCCTGAGGCTTGTGCTAAGTTGACTGGTCTCAGGATGGCAGGCCAGGTGTTTCCTAAGACTACCCTCGTTGACGTAGTGTTTTCCGCACACTGGACACGGGTGGTTGGCGGTCCGTCGCTTCGCTAGGTAAACCCCGGCAACGGAGGTTGTGCAGTCAGCGGAGGGAACAATAGGGCGACACAATTTCAAGGTCAATGCTAAGCAGGATAAAGCTTCCCAAGGAACGAAAGCCACCTCCTCCATCATCATCATCATCATCATCATCATCATCATCATCATATCATCATCATCATCATCATCATCATTATCATCATCATCATTATCATTATCATCATCATCATCATCATCATCATCATCATCACCATCATCATATCATCACTATCGTCATATCACCATCATCCTTATTATCATCCTTCGTCGTTCTTTTTTTTCATTATCATCACCATTATCATCACCACCATCTTCATCATCATCATCATCATCACCACCATCCTTCTTTTCCTCCTCCTCCACCTTATTTCTCACGCATTCGCGTGTACATACGCGCGTACGTACGTCGACATTCCAGTCGACCTCGAAGGCGAAGGGAGAATCCTTGCAGACACGGATAGCCGAGGACCAGGAGAGCACTGACCTCGGACGCACCGCGCGCTGCTTCTGCCGTTGCTGGCTCCCTTTCACGAGCGAGGTCGTCGGCCCAAAAACCAAGATGTACACGCACGTACGCGCGCTTGCACGCTTATAGACGCACAAAGAAAAGTTCGACGAATCTCTCTCTTTCTCTCGCAGATTTTTTCCCTTTTCCTCCCCTTGCGCTCTCTCTCGCTCTTTTCCCCTCTCTCATTTTTCTCCCTCACTGTTCTCTTACAGCTTCCTTCTTTCCCTCCGTATCTCCGGTTTTTCCGCACTCTCGGTTTTTCTCGCTTTCCGTCTTGGAAGAGATCGGACCGTCCAGATGGACGATGGAAAACTCTATGTTACGCTTTAGCCGCGTAACGCGTTCGGACGAAAGATGGGGGTTACTTATGTCATTTCTTATCACTATGAAAAATACACCAGGTCGATACTGGCACTGTTTTCCGTTTATTTAGAAAATGATGGAGGAAACGAGACACGACGCGTTTAAAAAACGGCATGCGGTTTCGTAAAGAGATTCTCATTGATTGTGGCGCACGTCCGCGCACGTCGATCCTCCTTCTCTGTACGTCTATCTACGTATGCCCACACACTTAACAGAAACGCACGCACAAAAGTCGGAACGAGACACCCTTTTGAAGCACCGGTTTTTGTATTAGCGAATAGTAGTACGCAAGTATTAGTCGGCGAGTGCGCTAAGTGCTACACCCCCTTTTTCCGTTCAGCGAAACAGTACGAAGAAGTGACAGGACAATGTGTGCATATCGCCCGCGCCAAAGCAAGTTCTTAGGTGGGGGATGTGAAACGTACTTAAATACTATGGACGAACCACCCCTCGTGTCTCGAGGAGCGATCGTTCTACCTCTCTCGCTTTCTCTCTCTTTTAGACTTACTCGCAATTAAGGCACCCTCGTTACGTCTATCCCTCGTTCTTTCTTTCTCCTTGAAGGAATTCTCGCGAGAAACCCTCGTTAGCTGGTGTTAGAAAGGACGGACGGAATAATCCCCAGCAAAAGTCGGAGACCACGAGAGGAAGAACCGATCGTAGAGAAAACTCGAGAACGTCGCGATTACTTTGATGTTCAGAAAATGTGTAAAATCACAGCTCACTTTCCCGATATTTATCCAAATTGGACTTTGCTGCTTATAGATCTACGAGTCGCGTTCTCCTCTATGGTATCCCAGAGACGAAGCGCAGAAGAAGATATTTTATCGATTATCGCGTTGAATGTCGTGCGTTAGTCGAGAGACAGAGAGTCGTAGCGTTAGTGCATGGTAGTAGTAGAACAGAGAAGAGGTGTACCCATGTGTCGTGACATGGCAGTGACAGAGAAGCAAGGAGAAAGAAAGTGTGTGACACGGACGAAATCGAGGGTGCTCAACTATCGTAGATACTTACTGGCAACGCCGGAGGCATTCGGATCCTTGTGGGTGTGCTTCATATGCTCCATAAGAGCTTCGCCACCGAGGAAGAGTTTGTGGCAGACGGGACAGCTGGTTGCATTCGGGCCGCCGATCAGGGCGGCGTGTTGCTGGAACACAACACGCTGTTGCAACTCCTTTTTTGAGGGCCGGAAGAAGAGGAACCGGAAGCAGGCACACGCGGCGCACCGGTAGAGAGCCGACCCACAGAATACCACCACAGAGTCGCGAACCAGAAGCGCAGGACAGGCAGCGCACAGAACAGAACGATTGACCAGTGAGAGTTAGGGTACCGATTTACCGCCGCCACCACGGACTACTACTTTTATTTCTTTTTTTTTCTTTTTTTTTTTTTTTTTTTTTTTTTTTTTTTTCTTTGCAAAGGGAATTCACCTCGAGTGTCTGGTAATGAATTTTTTCTTTTCTCTTTTTTTTCTTTTTCAAGGAAGGATTTACGGGAATCGCTATCGGTCAAAGCTAACCGATAGTACGAAGGATCGATGGTTGAACGGAGACTTTAAAAAACGTGGAATTTTTCGCGTTATTGCGAGGCAAATGAAAAATATATCTCCGTGTAAGAATCACGTGTGTAAGAATCTGTGTGAGTGACGATGAGAGGGTAGAAATGGATGGTCCGAGGAATCGAAAAGGGATGGAAAAAGCAAAGCCCAGACAGACGAATATAATAAAAGCGTGAGGTCTGGAGAACGATCGAAATTTTCGTATACGGCGAAAGAGGATTTTCCAATGGTTAATTTGAAAAAAGAACAACAGCTTCGCGATGGATTATGGATCTCCGATTGATCTCGTACGACCTCACAGATGAACGGGAATGCAAAGCATAGATCAAATGACTAGCTACTACGACACAATTGCGATGGCCTTTGTCGCAGTTATCGTTTCAATCGTCGATTCGCGATTCTTGCAACGCGTTTCTTCGCGTATCCGATACAATAAAGGATTGTGATCGACGAGCTGACAAAGGCCATCCTTTAAACAGATAATACGAAGAGTAATGAACGAAATTCGACGTCCTCATTGCAAGTATCTGTCTCCGTCATTGGCGACCTCGTGTTAAGGTACAATTTCGCGGTCGTATGCTTTTTGATTATTCTTTTTTTCTTCGCATCTCTCATTTATTTCTCTCTCTTTTCTCTCTCGCACACGCGAAGGTCGGTAATACGCACACGAGGCGGTAGGGGCACGCGCTGAGGAAAAACATGGCGGTCAACCTTGCTCGAAAGAGTGCTTAAAACGGAGAGAAAAAGAATACGAAGAGGAAGGAAAGAAGAAGGAGAAGGTGGGAGGAAGGAAAGGCTAAAACGAGACCAGACGGCAATGACCCGAAAGTTTTGGGGTCTTTACTCGCCTCGTTCCTTTCTTCCTGCCTACCTCTCCCCGCCCTCTCTGCTTCGATACAACGCATCTTTCTTTTTTCTTCTCCTCCTTCCTTCTCTTCTCCTTCTTCTCCTTTTTCATCGCGGCGAGTCGTCCTTCTCTCTTTCTTTCATTCTTTCTCTCCCCCTTTCCCTTCCTATCTTTACCGAAGCGACCCGTGCCTTTCTTTTTTCCCGGACCTGGGATAACCGCGGCCGAGTTGAGACGATCAACGGAACTGAACACAAGAGCCGAATCTCGGGCAGGACCAGTTTAAAATAACACCAGGCGTCGTTGACCTACGTCCCGGCTAGCCTTTTTCTTACGGTTTATATTTTCCCCCTCTGATTCTTCCCTCGCGAGAAGAATTATCCACGAATATTTTTAGCTAGCCACACAGTCGTTTCGACGTTTCTCCCCCTCCGATCCTACGCCCAGTTTTAACCGTTTAATCGCCTATACTCTATATTTTTTATTCCTCTCCTATTTTTCACCTTCTATTCGTCTCTTTACCAATTTTTCTTTCCTTTACGCGTGTAATTTATCATTTCCTTTCGTTATAATATTTTCCAGATTTTCTTTTCTCTTTTGTTTTTCTTTCCCTTTTCTTTTTCTTTTTCTTTTTCGTTTTGTCCAAAGTCCCCGAATTAGATTTTCAATTTCTTCTTCCCGTCTTACGATCCATTAAAACTTCTACTTGCCCTAAAATAATTTTCGTGAAATCCGATGAACGATATCAGTGGAAAAGATTATGGAAAAATAGCAGAGGCAAGAAAGGTAGGCGTGTACAACTAATGCCGCGTCAATGAACCCCAAGTTTAGAGGGTCCTTGCCCTTCTCTTCCTGCGCCGCAACCGCTTCATCTTCTTCTTCGTCTTCTTTTTACTCGTCGAAACACCCACGCCCGTTCGCGTTGTCGTGTTCTTGTTCGACGATAGGCGATATTCTTTCCAAGGCACGCCTCCCGGTTGTTTTTGACGGGCCAAAGCCCCGGCGTCCTTCTTTCTTCCCGGACCTAGGGCAAGCACGAGCCGGTTGAACCGACACCGCGAAGAGGATGCTGCTGGCCGTCGACGTCGTCGGCGTCGCTGCTGCTGCCGCTGCTGCCGCTGCTGCTGCTGCTGCTGCATGCAAGTTATTCTCGGAGGGAGGCTGCGGTCCGTAGGTTCGACGCCCCGACCTGGCCCAACTGGAAAAAACCGGTTTCTTCGTTGCGCTCTTCCTTTTTTGCCTGCATCCTCGCTTTTTGCACCGCGAATACCTCGACTCTCCTTCTGCTAGCCGCTCTCTTTCTCTTCGTTCCTTTTCCGTGCACTCCGTCCTCGTCTTTCTACTCTTTCGCCGAGTCGATCTTCTCTTTTCTCCTTTCTCTTTGCCCCGTCGCTCTTTGCACGCCGCTCGGGAGAGTGGTGCAGCGTGGGCGAATCCCCAAGGGACTTTATGATTCGCCGTGACCAGATTCATCTCTGCTCGACTGTACGTGCTTGCTGGCCGCGAGCTCGGTACACCTCTATTCCCAATTCCACGCTTCCTGGTCCCTCGAACAGGCGGCCGTTTCCATGCGTTTTCAGATCCAGCTTAGCCTTTTGCCGCCAATAATCTCCCACTGTGGGAGAACTCCACCGTTTCGTCTTCTTTCCGCGCTTATTTTTTCCCCCGATACCTCTGCAGAGGCTCTCTTACTTGCTCCTTTAACGCTCTTTCCAGCCAAGTCGAAGGTGCTGCGTCGTTAGTCGCATCCTCGCGGTATCTCCGCTTTCTGTGCCACGTAGCTATTTATCTGGTTAAACTGCAGCGAGTGTTTGAGACTGGCTCGGGCCAGGGAGTGGCGTAAAAAGGAAGTGGGTGTGAGCATACGCGTAGCGATGCGTGACGTTGGGCTCCGTGAAGCCATTTTGCGTTCATGGAAAAGGGACCATCTTTGATCGAGTCGGAGAAATTCGGTCCGAGGATGGATCCATCCGTGTTCCGATATACGTACGCGTCCTGTCGTTACTTCGCGTTATCCTTCGTTCTCGTTGTCCTTATTCGTTCGATTCGTTCGTTCGCGCAGTTCGTTCGTTTGGATATTTTACATCCGGACAAAAGTTTCGCAAAAATTCAGGTGGAACGAGGGACACGCGGGTCCCGCTGTTTTCTCGGAGCATAGCGATAAAATCCGAAGGTCATTCTCGCGGCGCGCAATTCTTTTCGCGTCATTTCTCTTTTTTTTCCAGCCGTCTCCTTTCCTTGGCTTTTTTAGCCACAACGAGGCCGCGAGCCTCGCCGGCAGACAACCTTCGTACGATACTCGGTTACACCGACAAACGAAGTCTGTGAAAGATATTCGTTCACTGGTTGTCTTAATCTCTCAGTCTCGGTTACTTCGGTCTCGTACTTGGAAAAATGGTTCGTTTCGCAACCGCGACGAATAAACGCGTCTTCTAACCGAATCCGTTCTATTCGTTTGCGTGGAAAATCTCTTCCTCTCGAGATTAACAGCGATCGTCGAAAGGGAAGACCTCGTAGCACCTCGATGACACCTCGTGATTCGTACGGCCGATATTAAGATGTCGCGTGCAAAAAAGTACGCTATGGTTATAGCGAATGGTCACGATACGAAATAATCCGTATGGCTGAAACACGCGTGATCCTTTTCATTAAGATCTGTTTGATTTCTCCTTCTCTTTCTCTCCTTTCACCTTTTTTTCCTCTTTTTTTTTTCCTTTTCGTACCATCTATCGCATATTATTCCAGGTCGGCGCGCTTTTTTGCCGTATCACGCGTTGGTAATCCGCGGGTTATGCGTGTCCAATCACCCCCGGGGAGGAGTACGAAGGAAAGGCGACCGGGGGAAAAAAGTAACTACGTGGAAAGGGTTGAGGATGCAGCTTCCCCCCGTGTTGTGCCAATAGCAGTTTCCACGCGACCCTCTAGCGCTTTCGTTACTAGGAGAGCGAAAAAACGCAGGGGTGTCGCACACAATAGAGAGAAATCCCACCCCAGTCGAATATCGGCGCGGGAATGATTTCGTTAGGCCTCGGTGCGGCGATGGAGTGTGTGTACGGTAGCGAAAGAGAGAGAGGTGAAAAGGGGGCTCGCAGAGGCGGAGACTGTGCAAAAAATTAATATCGAGGGGAAGAACCAGAGAGGCCGGGGAAAAGAAAAAAAAAAAATGGTCGGAATAGACGAGAGGAGATCTCGTTGGAACGCATAGACGTGTTGCTCTTTCGCTCTCTTTCTTCGTGTTTTCTACGGATATCGTGGACGTCGCGAAAAGAAACGTGAAAAGCCGGTGGATAGGAAAGAAGTTGCGGACAGAGTGGTCCAGTTTACGAGACGCTTTGCCGCGAAAGACCGTGTTCCACGTTTCTATTTTAATGCCGTGAAAGAGGCAAAGAACGAGAGATTCCTTCCGGGGACTCGCCAGGCAACGATGTTGCGCACCGATGAGGGAAGTTAACGTGGAAAGACGTGGGTAACGCGGGTGAGAGGATCGCTGTACCCGCGAGGGGAAATCGTTCGATCGGAAAACGTAGGAGTAGAAGCAAAAATTGCGTGCATCCTGTTTCCCAGGCGATTCGCAGGCTCTCGATCGAAGGACGACTCGTAGATTGTACATCGCGAGGTATTTTGCGCGGCGGGTAATACGAATAACGCAAACGCGACGTTTCTGGAGCGATAAGATCGAGAAACATGGAATCGTTAGATCGTGCATGTTGTGGCGTTTAACGTAGCTAATTGTCTCGGAGGATGCAAAGGACGTAATCGATTAACGAATGCCAGATACTAGACACGTGGAACGTATTTCTAATTTCCTCTGAATTTCATCCAGTTTAGGGAAAATCGATGGAAAGAGAGCGACTCGCGATTTCCTAATTACTATCATGGACAAGTGAAACGTGAAATTTTGCAAGCATATCGAAATTACACCCGAAAGGAATTCCCATGGGCTCTGCCGCATTTTGACCCGATCATTTTACCTTTAATCGTTGCCATGGGTACTTGGAACACTGCGACAAAGAGAGACCAGCATGAAATGAAGATCAATTTACATTAATTCGAGATAATTAAATATCGTTTAGATTCAGTTGCATTTTTCAGAATGCCCACACTCCAACGTCCCTTGCTCGATACAAAGAGTAAACAAGCGTTTCGTTCGCAATATGGCGGTGCTTTTACGCGTACTGCGAGTTCCCGTTTTCCTGCGTGAAAATTTGGATAATCGCCCGGCGATTTTTCGATCAGAAAGAAAAAAGTGCGGAAAAGACGAAAAAAAAAAAGAAAAAGAAAAAAAAGGAAAAGAAAAAAAATGAAGGAAATTAGAAAAAAAAAAGAAAAAAAAAAAATAATAAAGAAAACTAAAAGAAAAGGTACGTAAAGCAAGTTAAAGAAGCAGCGCAACGGATGCGCACGGTTTTTAGAAGACGGAATGAATCCCCGTGGCGAGGAAAAATAAATCTAATGGCTAACGAGTTTTTACCGAGCTCCGCGCTTGGGCAATTAAGAAGAGGGTAGAGGGGCTCGATGGGAAGACCCCGGAGGTGAGTCGGAAGAAGGTCGAAGGTACGAGAAAGTCCGCCAGCAGAAAGGGTTGTATCGTGTTGCACGATATTCAACCCTTGTACCCGCTAAACTACAAATAAATACGAAGGCTCTGTGCCACGCAAAAGTGGGGTAAGACGTGACTGAGAAGCAGCGAAGAAACCAGACACGGGCGAGTTCGCAGTGCTTTGAAATTTTTTCTTCCATCTTTCGCTCGTCGCGTCTTAGAACGTATTTCTCTTTTAGATCGATTCCATCATCATCATCGAATGCCTCTCCTCTTCTCTTCTCTTCTCTTCTCTTCTCTTCTCTTCTCGGATCGAACGCTTGTCATTTAACGCGGCAAGTTCTCGAACGCGTGAAGCTCACGTGAATTCGAAGAAACACCGGCCCGTTCTCTGGCTGGCTCGAAACAAAGAAAGGGATAACACAGTTCATAAGACGCACGTGAAGTAAACGTAGAGGGAGAATATCTAAGTTTCTACGGCTGGCTACCGATCGTTCTGTATAATACATTTACGCTCCAGCCTATTATAATATTGTACTCGGAGTGTATTGTCTTTCTTGGTCGGGATAATGTTTCGCCGACACGCCAGGCCTCGACCCAGAGCGTAACTCTTTCCTTTCCCCTTTCTCTTGCTCTTCCTTCTGCCTTTGCTCTGCTCTTCTTTCTCTCCTCAGCTCTCTCTCTCTCTCTCTCTCTCTCTTTCTATCTTCATCTCTTTCCTCTACTTGCTTTTTTCTTCTCGTTTTAAACAACGATCCATTAGCTATCAGGGTGTAGTCGACGAAGGGATGGGCTAGATAGCCTGGAATAGCGAAAACAATTTCAAGAAATCTGCCCCGGCGAAAATTCGATTAGCCGCGCAAGATGGGCTCGAGCTCTCTCTCCATTTGTTTCGTTTCGTTTTATTTTCACCAGGCGGACGGACTCTGTTTCTGTCGCGCTGGCGGCTTTTAATTACTTCTCCGCACTCTCTCGCAAGATTCCCTCTTCGTGTTCGTGTTTCGCGTTCGTCCTTTTTCTTCGCCTTCTTCTTCAGCCTCTCCTTGCTCTTATCCCTCGCGTTTTCTTTTCATCCTCCACACTCGCACGCTACAAAGACGCGCGCTGAACGCGGGCTACTTTTAACCCGAGCTATTCTTCCCCTCGTACCGATACCACCACCGTGGACGCTGCCCGGATCTCTCGTTATGTTATTAAGCCCCGTTTTGTCCGTGATTTCGCGACGGATATCAGTCCCGCGTACGATTGCCGCGCGTCCACGTATACGTACGTAGGTGGAAAGTCGGATCCCTGGGATGGCTCGCTTCGGAGATTTATCGGGTCACGAAACAGGGGAGAAGCCGAACGCTTTAACCGAGGATTAGCTTTCAATTAAAAGGATCTTGACGAGCGGAGCGTGTTAAAAGAACGGATATTTATTGCCCAGGAAGCGGCGTGTAACTCGGATTACGGTCGCGTGGCTCGTCGGACGCACCTGATTCCGTACCGCTTTGCGAAACAGGCGTTAAGAGAAGAGAGGATGGAAAGATCGGCAAAGAAGAAGAAGAAGAAGAAAGAAGAGAAAAAGGAATAGAAAGAAAAGGCGTTTCGCTTTCTTCCTTCTTCCGAGAAAGATATTTACCGCGTTACGTCTTATTTGCGCGTTCCGAGGGCAACTATGGGCTAAATTAATTATACCGCGCGTTATCGAGAGCCACGCAACGCGACGCGACTCTGTACAGGTGTACAGGCTAGTGTACCAGTCGTTTGCGCATTTATCGCGGTATTAATGGTTAATCCGTTCGAGTTTACCTCTTCCTCTTTTGGACCGCTTACAAGGAGATTGTCAGTTTACGACTGGTTACGCAACATGCCCGATCTAATTGGCCAAGATAAAAAGAACCCGATTGGTTTTTCGTTGCCGCGAAAGAAGCGCGAGAAGACAGGGAACAGAAACGAGAGAAAAGACCGAGTCACGGGCGGCTCGACAGATGCCTTCCCACGTTTTTTCGTCAAGACATGTGCCTGGCGCGGCGAAAGGGTTGAGAAATTCAGTTGGTCGACTGTGAAGCGGGCAAAAAACCACCCCACGGTACAAGATTCCTCTGGTAATCGCTACGTGCCGCGATTCACCGTCAGGGGTGAATTCGATTAAGTGTCGGGGACGCGATCTTTTTCCGAGATCATCCGATCTTTCCTCTTTCTTTTTTTCTTATTCTCTTTCTTCTTTTCTACCACCGATCCGTAATGCACGCCGCTTCTGTGCATTCCCTTCGCCTACCCACCCACCCCTCTCCGCCGACATTTCGGGCTTTCCGTTCTCCAGACGAGACCGACGCGTCGCGACGCGTGGATGAACATCGATTGTTCGTTTCCGTTACGTCCTTATATGAAGATCTTTCGAGCGATCGTGGTTCATGGTGTTCCTAAACGGAACAGTCTCGACGTTTCTTTCTTCTTCGCTCGATGTTTCGACGACGTCGAGTTGCGATCGTCTTATCGATCTGTGCGATCGTGTCGTGGCGAGGGATCATCGTGAGACGGTGATGCACACGGTAGCCGTGACATCGGGACGATTAGCGATCGATAATGGGCAATAGAATGAAGGCACGAAAGCTCTGGCCTGTATCGCTCTGCGAACTCCCGTTTAAGTTCGAAGCGGCTGGTCGGTGAAAAACCATAACCAAAGCAGTCCCAAGCGTGTTACGAAGAAACTCAGCGAAACGATCTCTAAGCGCCACCGTTAGAATCTTTCTCCGTTATTGTTACGACAACGTCGGTAGCACGCGGGGACTGTCGTAGAGTTACGTGGCACTTGTGAACCGGGAGCGAAACTCTCTGCACGGTTGTAACTCGCGAGTTGTCTCTTTCTTTTCCTCTCGCGATCTCGCGATCTCGCGGAAATAAAAGGCGACAAACGATCGGTCGTCACGGGTCAGATACGTACGTAATCGATAATACCGTGCATCGAATTCTCGTCCCGTGAAAAGATCGAGGATCGGTAGTTAGCTGCTTTTATTAGCTTCTATGCGAATAATCGTCGTCTTGCCGTTCAACGAAGCTCCGCGTACGATCGTGGAGAAAAGAGTAGAATGGAGCCTGTGGTAGATAAGACCGAATCTGCTGACAGAAACCGCGTTCGGATAGAAGCGTGACCCGCCACCATGTGTGCATTCAGAGAAACGTGTTCCGTGATACACGCGCAAGGAAAAAATGCGTAATAGCGTAATATCGGCCGATAGAAGAGCGACCAGCGGAGATTGGCGAGTTACGTATCGTAATGCATATAGGTAATGTACGAGTTTCATCGCACGTGTACAACCGTTTGATTGATTTCTAGACTCGGTTCTCCGGATCTTTCCGACCATGGTTCGATTATTATCGTGTGCGAGCACCGCGTTAAGTAGCCAAAATGCCTGTTGTTGTTGGACGTCGGATTTGGTACATACATGACTGACCTTCGACGTGTGGGTACGAAGGCTGGATTCTGTGGCGAAGCCTTTGCCGCAGATGTTGCAATGAAACGGCCGGTTCTTCGCCCGTTCCACCTGGGCGTCGTGATTTCGAAGGTGTTGCTGCAAATTCGATAATTGAATGAATGCCCGCCCGCAATCCGGAAGATGGCACTTGTACGGACGTTCACCTGAAACAAGAAAAGTTTATCTCGTATCATACGATTTACGCGATATCGTCGGACTGCGATGCAGTTTTAACTAACGAGCGTACGAGCGGTAGCTTAATTTCGTTGATCGAACAAAAATTGACACCATTGGCGGGTGTGTATCGTCGAACGTAATGATAATTGCGTCGGTGTCCGTGAAAGCGTAATGGTCCCCGAACGGGTGATTAATCGCGAAACGCGTTCGAGATACGAGAAAACACGGTGCGAGACAACGGAGGTTACTGGTCGAATTACTTTTTTCCGGGCACGTGCAACAGGTATCAGCGGCCAGCTTTAGGGATGAGCGTAAAAAATGCCACTCGTTTTAAAACGACCATTAGAGCCGGTGTTTTAACAGCCCGTAACCAGCACCCTGATTTAAAACAATGAACGTGCCTGCCTGTTTCGCAGATGTCGCCTTTTACCTTTTTCCCATACTCGCGCTTATGGCTCGTGGTTCACCAATGGGACGCGCGATTGCTTTTGAGAATTTTAAATTCACGCGTTATACCAGATTCGTATTATCGAGAAAGCGATGGGGTGGGGGTGGGGGGGGGGGGGGGGGGGGGGGGGGGGAGAGAGAGAGAGAGAGAAAGAGAGAGAGAGGGAGAGAGAAATAGTAACAATTTGTAGGAATAATTTTCATTAGCCAATGTTAGCACGCATTAAGCATTTATGCAAATTCTTTTCTGATTATTTTATAAGCCGATCAATATTAAATTCGCTGCGTTATCGGGAAAATATACGTTGAAGCTTTTAATCTATTCCATCGATCTGCGTTTGAAGGAACGGAACTTGCGATCGTTGCAATTTTTATTACGCTCTTTCCTTCGTTGTTTACCCGACCAACGGACGCTATTCTAATTTCCACGAGCGATTGGCTCAATTTAACTTTTATTAATATCGACATTCTTCCCTGGTCCTTTTTACCCCGGGCACTCTTTCTTTTTCTTCCCTCTTCTTCCCGCTCCTTTCCTCCCCTTTGCTCTCCTTCCCTCTCCTTTCATCTCTTACTTCCGCCGCCACACTTCTTACTTTCTTCATCCATCAGATTCATCTTTTATTCAGCTCGTGTCGAAGTTTTTAATAAAAATAACTCGGTATCGATTCGTTCGCGTTTTCTTTTTCTCCTTTTCTCTCGTTTTCTGATATCGCCCATTTTTATCCGCGTAAAATTAGCGTCGCATCGTCGAGGAAACGAAAATGATCCGATCATGTCACGAGTAGGATAAAAGAAGAAAAATCGAATCGTGGAGGGTGGATTAAGATAGCGCTCGATTGTTACCTCTCATCTATCGAGTGAAATTTTCACGGTGCTTGTAATATTTTCCTTCGTACATGGACGGTAAATTAACGCTGCGATGGGGAAACGGCGTAAAATTTATTTATTACGTGTTATCGTACGATGAACACATCGACGCGAGCGCTTCTCTTTTTATCAACGGAGAAAACGAGAGAGGGAGAAAGATAGGACAGGAGAGAAATTCGAGAAACGAGGCAGGTACAATGTAAGGTCGGAAAACGCTGCGTAACGCGTGGCAAAAGTTATAGCCGATACGTAAACTATTACTTTTACGAGCTTTACTTTATCATTTTTATAAGCTCGGCCTGGCGGCGTTTTACGAGACGCGTTTATTTAGAAGCCGTGTACGCGCGCGTAAAATTTTATCGTGTTTGCATTTACTTCGAAACACGTCTGTTTTACGCGTTGCGTATGAATTTATCAATGATGCTTTCTTCTTGCAACATGGAAGGTTTTAAATTATAAACGCGGCTACGTATGCGCGTATGACCGATGGAGGTACATATGTAACCGTTTTGAGCGAGTGCCATTCATTTTCTGGCACAATAAGACCGATACCGCTTAAGATCTTCGCGATTCTGACCGTTGGTAGTAGCGCGTTACTCTTCGTTTTGGCACCGGGAACGATTAGAAACGTAGGTCATAGAGATCGACGTATTGATGGACTGAAAAATGGTATAAAAAACGTTCAACTATAAAACGAATCGATGTAATTCCGTGTTAATAAATAGGGGTTCCGTGTTTGATGAACGCGTCACGATTCTTCTACCGCGAAATAAACTTTAACGTCTGTTAATTGGATTTAATTTGGTTAATCGGAGAAAGGATAATTCCGCGGTTTTTTCTTCCCTTTCTCTCTCCTTTTACTCTTTTTCGAAAGAGGAGATATCGCGGCAGAGATCGATGCGTTTTAGCGAACACATTCGTCTCGATGCTCTTTTTGCTCCCTTCGGTTTAATGCCTTTCCGTGTATCTCTCGTGACGACACTAAACATGCATCGACGTTAAATTTTGCTCGACGACCGTAATTCCCCGACGGTGTATAACGTCGTTACATTCGTCACCTACACTAGCCGGAATATCAAACGAGAGTGGCGATATATTTGATTATTTGTCAGTGCGGCGGTTTCGCAGGCGCGTGCATTTCACCTCCCACCCCGGCGCGCTGGAAAATTTCTGGCACGTTTTTCCACGTTTTGCCACGGATACGGGGCCAGTTGGTGGAGCGTGTGCGCTTTTTTTCCCAGCGGTACGCCTCGTCGTCCACTCGTCAAAATCACCGCCGAGCTCGCAAAAGCACGAGCGGAAAGCTCGGAAAAAGCTGGCACGTGGTTGAACGTGTGAGTACGGAAACAGCTTGGATACGAGCTCCTCTCCTTCCTTCTCACGCTCCTTCTCCCTACCTCTTTCTCCTTCGGGCTTTTCTATCCAACTACACGCCTCCTCTTTCTCCTCCTTTCTCTCTCTAGCTCTCTTCGATGCTCGTACACACCCCCTCCCTTTGCAACCCTCTTGCCTCGTCCGTGGAAACGGCGAGCCCCCTCTGGCCTCGTAGCACCGACCACCCAGCGGCCCTCCACGGCCCACTACACGTCCACGGCAGAAAATTAATGTCCCCTGCAATCCATGTATAATGCATTCGCATTTCGTTGAACGAACAAATGAACGCACCGCTAGAAAATTTACGTCCTATCTCTCTCTCGCTCTCGCTCGCTTTCCTACGAGCCTATCTCTCTCTCTCTCTCTCTCTCTCTCTGTCTCTCTTTCTTCCTCCGCGTTTCTCCATCCTTTTCCCTTCGTTTGTTTCTCTTTCGCCTGTTCGTGTGTCTCCCTCGATTTCTCTCTACTCTTCTTTGTTCCTCTCGCGAGATTTTGCGCGTGTGCAACAAGCCGGCCCTGACCAACCCGTCGTTGCACACACGCGGCTCTCTCTCTTT